TGAGAGCCGTAGTTGAATGAGAGGGTGGGGAGGCTAAGAGAGGAGGAAATATGAGAGGAAGAGATCGCTTCACTTAAAAATACTGGGAACAATCATAACACACTCCCACAACAGACCAGCTCGAGTCAGCTGCAACTGTTGCTAGGTCAAGGTTATGAGGAAGAAATTAAGTCTCGCGTTGAGTGCGAGGTTAAGTGGTTTACAGAATTGTGTTGACCAACTGCATCGAATTGCATTCCACGTGTCAAATGAATTCTTGCAGAATGAGTAGATCTTCTACCAGAGCCACTGAAGTAACTTGTGTTGCAGATAAAAAAATACATGTTAATTGTGTGTTTCATTGAAGCGCAGACCAAGAAGTGGACTATACCTACTATCCCAGACAATAGACCATTAGACAATTGTTGTATGTGCTACTATACTAAGGGGCCTAGACAAATTTCGTCGGGGCGGACAGAGGAGACCGCTCACCTCGGTCCGCCCTCTTCGAATTCTTTGACGAGGTATGGTTGTGTGATAAGGGCAAACCAACTCCTTATAAAATTGTGATTTCATTTTTGTGAGAACGTATTCAGGTTTGTACTGGTATATGATCAGTAATGCCACATATTTATATATACAGGGTGGTCCAAAAAGAACTAACACATTTTAACATACATTTTTACTTACAAAATTTTAACTACATGATATCATTTACATTATGCACAGATACAAACAAAGTTTTTTTGCGATATTCAGTAATCTCAATATGGCCACTGTTTAAGGATTAGCCATGCAATGTTAATTTCAACCCCGAGAAATGCAGCAAAGGTGTGCGATGTGCTAAATTTTGATTTAACGCCGACATAGTCTTAATTGGTGGCCATATGAAGATTGGTTGAATATCGTCAAAAACTTTTTGAGTTTTTCTATCTGTACATATGTAAATGTTACCATGTAGTTAGAAATCATTAAATACAAATGTATGATAAAATGTGTCAGTTCTTTTTTGATCACCCTGTATATAAGCTAAAGTCCTTACTCATTCATCAAAAATTTCCCAAATCCCCAACTAGCTGAAAAGTAATAATTCAGTACACTGATTAAGGTTTGAAACAGGAATGGCCTTTGCACGGCAACGGAAGTGATTACTACAATAGCTGTAATTTCTTAATTTGCACTTTCTAAATGATTTTTATTTAGACTGTTAACGGCTGATTAAAAAGAACTGTTAAATTGTTTGAGTCATTTTGCGTTCATAATTGTATGTGTTATATATTTGGAATAAAATAACATTAATTAATTTATAGTTTGACCCGGAACATAATGTTTGGTAGAATAGTAGTATGTACATTACATAATGCTAAATATGTAATTATGGATCAACGAATGTAGACTTACATTAAAGACTAATCTACATCCCATTATTATTTTTACTTTCAACTAATATCGCTACTTATTAGTGTATAATTATAATGTAGGCCTACGTAAAACTGAACTAAGTGTTCAGTAGTGGTGTCTAGGCTTATAACAGACAGTACTTCACTATCGTAATACTGTGGTTACAACTGGACCGCCTGTTACATATAACAAGATGTATGGACAGTGGTTTAATTTACTTAAACTACATACTATTAACCATATATATAATCCATACACCTCTATCAAACCATATCGGCATTTCACTGTCTTCAGATCCCCTAAATAAACTATTGACAAGGATGACGATAAGTTGAGGTTTTACTAAGAATAAAAAGTAAACAAATTAATACATAGCCTACTTAAAATAACTGTAGGTAACGTAAACCATCTCTTCAACTTAAAAAAATAGTTCTGCTGAGTTACATTTTGAATATTTTTACAAACAATCCTTAATAAACTTTTTATAACAACAGAAGCCTGGAATTCTGGACCCCAAATGAAGCATTATTGCTACAAACATTATGTGGATCATAGACACCTTTTTCTTCTTGTTGCCAAGTTGTTAGTATCTTGAAGTATCATTGTTGATTGCGTTCCTAACCATGCAGGAATCACCAAGACGGCCATATTATACTTTGGCCACCTGAATCATTCCTACACGGTCAGAAAACTGAAAAACGTCTACTTCACCATGGTAAAATGAAGTTCAGCTCTTCTTATTTAGAGGCTAAAGATGATCCTATTCTTGTTACCGTCGTTTTATTGCATTCCCAACCATGCAGGAATTACCAAGGCTATGTTGTTCTTTGGCCATCTAGGTATTTCCTACCCGGTCAGAATCGTTCAGGATGAAATTTAAAAAATTCTACTTCACCATGGTAAAATGAAGTTCAGCTGTTCTCATTTAGAGGCTAAAGAGGCTCCTATTCTTGTTACCGTCGTTTTATGGAGTTCCTAACGATGCAGGAATTACCAAGAGGCCATGTTTACTTTGACCATCTAGGTATTTCCTACCCGGTCAGAATCGTTCAGGATGAAGTTCAAAAAACGTCTACTTCACCATGGTAAAATGAAGGTCAGCTCTTCTTATTTAGAGGCTAAAGAGGCTCCTATTCTTGTTACCGTCGTTTTATGGAGTTCCTAACCATGCAGGAATTACCAAGAGGCCATGTTTACTTTGACCATCTAGGTATTTCCTACCTGGTCAGAATCGTTCAGGATGAAGATCAAAAAATGTCTACTTCACCATGGTAAAATGATGGTCAGCTGTTCTCATTTAGAGGCTAAAGAGGCTCCTATTCTTGTTACCGTCGTTTTATGGCGTTCCTAACCATGCAGGAATTACCAAGACGGCCATGTTGTACTTTGACTATGTTTTTGACTATGTATGACTTGGTATTTCTTACACGGTCAGAATCGGTACAGATGAGGTTCCGTAGACGTCTACACCACGATCAAATTAAGACCATCTCGTATAATTCAAGTAAAACTATTCTCAGATAGAAGATTCTAAAAGTGTTGATACATGTTCACCTTGTAAATCTGTTATAAAATAAAACAAACATAGAGTTACAATAGTGTATATAAGCATTTAATCGAAATATCAATAAATAAATACATGTACCTCATCATAAAAGGACGTTGTTCTCTCGTGGAGGTTAACAAGAAAATTTTCGTTGTTCATAAATAAAGATAAATAAAATTTCTCAAGATACGATAGTTTAGTGGTAGCTGAATTATCTGCGTCTTATGCAGATAGACAAACATTGTTCATTCAAGACCGGTTATTTATTTGTACTATTTTATCCGTGCGGTCACCACTGACTAATATACCACAACTGCAATTCACTGGCTTCAAATAACCACACAGACTACGGTGATAGGTAATTGAGAGTTTGAAGAAAAATAAAAATAAAATTTATGAAATAGATGACACCCACAGTCTGTTTTACAATAACTGTGGGTAAAATTCACCTCACATCTTAAAGCCTCAAATTAAATATATGCATATGTATGATGAGAAACATTTTTAAAATCTGTCGAGATAAATCACAGTGTTTTAAATAAAATAATTAGCCTGAAGTGGCCCAGACACTGAAAGGAAACATTTGTGCCAAAATCACTACACGCAACATACCTTGATATTCTCTCGACTAACCATACAAACAGACATTTTACAAGCATAACGTGGGATAAAACAGTCAGTTTTTACATGTTGAAAATATACTATTGTTTTAGAAGTTTCCCACAAATACATCCAGAAACTTCTGATTTTTTTCTTCTTGTTGCCAAGATGTTGATATTTTAAAGTATCATTGTTGATTACGTTCCTACGTTCCTACGTAACCATACAGGAACTACGAGGACCGCCATATTGTACTTTGTCCATCTACACATTTCCAACACGGTCGTACAAGATCCAAAGACATCTACTTCATCATCATGAAATGTAGAAAAGCTGGTTTAACCCTTAGTGTATACTTAGAGTAATACGATTGTCAGATGGAAAATACCCCAAAAATGTTAAGAAATGTTCATCTGATAAATAAAATATAATATTAAACAAATATAGAGCTAAAATCGCTTATAGAAGTATTTAATAGAAAGGTCAATAAACAAATGCCACATGTACCTCATCATGAAAGGTGGTTATTCTATTGTGGCTTCTTTACGACAAATGGGGTAGAGAATTATGGTAGGGTTCCCACTACTGTACCATAATTTGGAAATATGTTTTAATAAAACAGCTGATTTAGGCAGAAAGCTATGTTAAACGATTATTCTATATAATTGTATATGTTCTAGACTAACTTCAGCCCGGTAGCGATTCACATGTTAATATTCTTCCGTAATATTACTGCTGGTATATTCATTCACAAATCCGTTTCTGCTTTTTAGAGTTCCATTTTAAATAGTTTTACAAGATAAACCATATAAGTTTTACATTTCAAACAAAAAAAACCTGAAGTTCCTCTACAACCGAAATGAGCCATAATTCTTAAGTTCTTACCTCCTCTTCTTAAATTTTGGTTGCCTCCCTGGACTTGGAAATCTAAAATTAGTATTCGAATCTAATTTCCTCTTACAAAACCGGTAATATCTTGCAGCACTTGATCCATTGTTGATTGTTTTCCTGACCATACAGGAAATACTAAGACGGCCATATTATTTTGGTCGTCTAAGCCATTCCAACATGGTCAGAAACGTACCAGAAGAAGTTCTAAAGACGTCTACTTCATAATTATTAAATTAAGAACAGCTAGTCTAATTCGATTATACAATTCTCAGAGACAAAATTCTCAAGACATTTTGCAAATGATTACTTTATCTTGTATTAAGACCATCGCACCGACCTATGGGCCACGAAGACGGATAGTTAAGGTTTTATGGAAAGTATAATAATGGAATTTTAAGAAATAAATTATTACACTTAATGCAGGCAACCACTCTCTAGATCTCAAAGCTTCTACCTATATACGCCAAACGCTATCTAGAGTTTGGTATATTTGTACAAGATAAACTATACTATTTTACATATGAACAACATGGCGTGAAGTAATTAACACTCCGAAACGATTAGTTTTTGCTACAGCTATTACTAGGATCACGTTCATAGACATAACCAAATCACTTGGCACTTTCTTCTTGTTGCCAAGCTGGGCATTATCTTGAAGAACTTGATCCATCGCTGATTGTGTTCCTTACCATGAAGGAACTGCCAAGAGGGCCGTAATTAATTTACTTAGGCCTTCTAAGGAGTTCCTGCTCGGTTAGAAACGTTTCAGAAGATATTCCAAAACGTGAGGTTGTCCATCATGAAATGCAATGTGGAATGGAAATCAGAGCTGCTGTAATTCAAGTAATACGATTCTCATATATAAAATTCAGAGCTATATGTTTCAAAATGTTTACCCTGTAAATCAGGTGTCAAACAAACATAGAGTAAAATCATTTTAATAGAATTATTCATAGAATGACTATAATACAATCTGTAACTTACTATGACAGGAATCTATTCTATCGGGGAGGCTGGCAGGACAATGATAATATTTTAAATAATAATAGTTTTTTTTTACTAGAAAAAGTAAGAGGGTTCCCCTACCATTAGGAAATCGATCCTTGAATGAAAAAAAACTGATTTAGGGTGTGGGTGTGAGTTATTCTTAATATTTGCAATATACCATTTGGTATTCCAAACATTTTCTATCTATTGTTATATGTTCTAGACTTTTACTTAAGCCCGGTTGCGTCGTGCATGCCAATATTTTGTTACATAATCGTTGTGTTTTGCGTAGTAGTACGTTTGTCTAATGTATATTTTTTTGACTGTTGATATTCTATTGAATTTTTTTACAACTTTTACATGGGGGGATTCTGTTAACCTCCTTGTGGCCTGATGGCTCAATCTTAAAACCTAAATGAGTTACCACCACAGCAACTAACGATTACTTTATGCTGACATTTGAGTCAAAAATTACAAATGAGCAAAATCATTGGTTAAATACTGCCAAAATGGTTTAGGTTACACAAAATTAAATAAAATTAAATATGGTACACAACGAAATAGTTTCCATTGTAATACCCTAGACTGTAGAGTAGAGTGATTCTGCCACCATCAGAATAAAAAGTACGTGGTTTATAAAAAAAACTAAGCGAGAGAAATGAGTTTTGGTTTTCGTACAACCTTTTCAACCAAGTTCTATTTGAATAAAAAAATAGCTTCAACTAGTCATTATTGATAGGCTATCTATCTACCGTTGTATCCAAAAGTGAGTGGTAATACTTAGTAAGTTCATTGATTTTCTGGTATAATACAATTGCTTTAATAAATTACGTTTCCTTTCTACAATATTGTTGTTGATATCAGAGTGTTTTCCTAGTATATCTGTATGAATATGACATATTATGGTTTTGTTAAAAAAAAAGATAAAACAATGATTGTGCATTTCAAAACAGCGGAAGTACCTGGGCCACTGAAACGATACATTTTGCCATACCAGGACCACTTGGATCGTCCCAATAGACTTATCCAAATCACTTGAATCTTGAAGTTTGTAAGTTGTTAATATCTTGAAGTATCATTGTTGATTGCGTTCCCAACCATGCAGGAATCACCAAGGCCGCCATATTATACTTTGGCCACCTGAACCATTCCTACACGGTCAGAAACGTTTGAAGTTCCAAAAACGTCTTCACCGCCATTAAATGAAGAACAGCTGGTCTTACTTAAGTAATAAGGTTGTCAGATATCAAAGAATATGTTGCAAAATGTTTACCAGTAGATGACCACACCGATCAGTAGGCCACATCTAGGGGCAGTTGAGGTTTTCGATAAACACTTCATTTACTCTTGTTCTTGTTATTAGGTTAGTTAAATCTTGAAGCAGATCCATCATGAAATGAAAAATAGTTGGTCTAATTTACGTAATACGATTCAAAGGCATACAAGACACAAGCAATGTTGAAAAATACTTGAATTGTAATTCAGTTAAAGTATCTAACACATACTGTAAGTGTTTATAGAAGTATTTGAGAGAAAAGTGAAAAGTGAATTTTACTTTGTTACATAATACGATGTAGCATTTTACTAAGTTACATTTTACTTCGTTACATTAAACTATGTTAATAATACATTGCACTATGTTACATTATTCTACAGGGTTAGGCAAAAGTCTGGAACCCCCCAGTTAACTTTTTTAACGCGTTGCAGTAGGAAAACCAAACTTGGCACATATTTACAACATAAGAAATTGCACTTTTTCATCAAAGTTACAACTTTGCCCCAGCCCCCAAAATGGGGTATTTTGGGGTCAATCCCAAATGTTCAAATGTAAACACCTATCAAGTGACCCCTTATGTTAAAGCGTTTCTCAAAACAAATTAAATGGCACAAACTAGAGGTCAATATCGCACCCCTAATCAAAATGGCAGTAATTTTGAAATACCCCTTATTAACTTTTTAAAAGGTTATAGCAGGAAAACTAAACTCAGCATACCTTTATAATAAAGAAAATTCACCTTTTGGTCAGTATTAAAATATGAAATTTTTAAAGTTAACTGGAGGTGTCCAGACTTTATCTTGCTTGCTCATCTTAAATAATTAAATTGACTGCCATTTTGATTAGGGGTGCGATATTGACCGCTGTTTTGCGCCATTCAATTTCTTTTGGTTTGGTTTTCCTACTGCAACGCGTTAAAAGGTTAACAGGGGGTTCCAGACTTTTGCCTAGCCCGGTATGTTACATTTTACTATGTTACATTTTACTTTGTTACATTATACTGTGTTACAATATTCCATGTAACATTTTACTATGTTGCATTACACATTATACTATGTTACAGTATACATTATACTATGTTACATTTATCCGCATATTATAATAATATGATAGAAAAGTAATTGATACGTGCATTACTATTATACAGCTTAACTACTTGGGTTGACCTGCTAACAACTTTTGAAATTTAATTGCATATTACAATGTCAACTTTTACTCTGTCTCTGGAATTGTACATAATTTGGTTTTTATGGATTTGCTTAATTTATCCATGCAATCTTAAATCTGACAACTCTAAAGTAAGACTCAAGTTGCTTAAATATGTGGATTTAAATATTTTATCAGTTGGAAAGTGCCAATGTTCATTGATGTTATGTTAGTTGAACAATCCTGGAAGCTATTCCATGTTTGAGCATAGAATAAAGAGTAGATTATTTATTACTAGTGTACATGTTGCTCGAAATTGAGCAATTGCAAAGAAGTACAGGAGCTATCTGTTATGAACCAGAAGAGATATTGTTTTGTTTATTATATAATCAACGGTAGTAACCATATTACATATAGTACCTATACATATTGGCAAGTTATTATCAAGAAGGCCATGAGGAAGACGCGGAGAATAGGCGAAGAGGACCGGCTCGCGGTCTTGGAAATTCTACAAGTGAGTACGGATCGCCATTTTTACTATCACTTTTCCTAAGTCCATTAGCCTAGAAATTATCAAGTTAAATGCATTTACATTAACTGGCGACGAGTGTAAATTAAAGTATTTTACTTTGTGCGCGTGTGAAAGTCTTTTATTCGATTTACAAGAGAAAATTAAATTGTGTTCGACCAAAAGGAGTTTGGTCCAAACAGGCAAAGACGCCTTGCAGGAAAAATCTGGTCGAAAAAGAAGGAAAATTTTGATTTTTACTGGAATTCAAGCATTATTCCGAAGCTAAAAGTATTTTATATTTTGGAGAAAGGTATTTGGTTGTATATAAGTCTTTTTTTTCCCAACTAGTTGGTTTTGTGATGGAGTAATGAACTTTTTAAAACTTCCATACTCACGTCTAGGGTTGCCCCTTTTTAGGCCTAGGCCTATTGTCTTACTTTAGACACCATATGATAATCACGAAAAATGGCTTCGAAACAAATACTAGGGAAAATACAAGAGTTCAATAAAGACCAGGAGTCTTTTGAAAATTATATTGAAAGATTACAATTTTTCTTTAAAGTAAACTCAATTGAGGACAATGCTAAAGTTCCCCTTTTTATCTCCCTTATGGGACCAGATCTTTATAGCACGCTTAAAAATCTTTTATTGCCAAAGAAACCCGGTGAGGTTACATTTGACGTCATTGTTACGACTTTAACTTCATTCTTTTTGCCTAAGAAAAATAAGGCCTATGAACGTTTTGTCTTTAATAAGTGTGCACAGAAGGAGGGGGAGGCGGTGTCAGAGTTTGCCGTACAGCTAAAAAAACTTGCGTCCACCTGCGACTTCAAGGAGTTCTTGGATGATGCTCTCAGGGATAGGTTTCTGTGTGGCCTTCGTTCAAACGAGATTCAGAGTAGGCTATTATCCGAAGGTGATACTCTTACCTTTGACAAGGCATTACAGTTAGCCCTAGTTTTAGAAGATGCTTCTCGTAGTGTAAGGAGTTTGCACCCAGATTTATCAGACCGCACCATTTCTGAAATTAATTTTGTAAAGGCTCAGAGGCCTAGAGACCAATCAGGGGGGTTCAATCACAACTACAAAGGTCAACGCCAGAGATCGTGTTATTGCTGCGGGAAAAACCATGATTTTAAGAATTGTTTTTACAAGGATTTTATCTGTCATAACTGTAATAAGAAGGGGCATTTGTCCAAAATGTGTAGGCAGCCTTCAAGTAGACCTTTGGTAAAGGGCAAAATAAATCTCTGTTCGGAGAGCGATGAAGATGAATTAGCGGGAACTAAGTCGGCTACTGCGCCGGAATATGAGTTGTATAGTATAGGCCTAGCCTACACTGGTAGTAGTCATGGTTCAACACCTAAGAATTCTTTTACCGTAGAAATGTTAATCAATAGTTTACCTATCAAAATGCTTATTGACACTGGAGCAGTGGTTAGCATAATGCCAGAAGATGTTTTTGTTAATACCTTTAAGGAGGATAGGCCTAAGTTAACGAAAAGCAACATTTACCTTAAGACTTATACTGGACAGCGTTTAAGTGTTCTGGGCGAGTTTCAGGCGAGAGTCACAAATAATGACACAACGTTAGATCTGCCGATGGTGATCATCCGAAGCGAAACTCCAAACCAACCAGTGTTACTAGGCAGGAACTGGCTTAACAGGATCAAATTGGACTGGGGAAAACTGGTCAAGGATAATAACCTAGATGGAAGACAAGTGAAGGACAAGGACATGGTGGGCGTTGTAAACGGTAAGAATTTTCCAATAGATTCTACCGTAAGGAGTTTGAAGGAAACTTTTGCGCCTGTTTTTGAAGTAGGTGTAGGGACTATAAAGGGAACAGAAGTAGAATTGGTTCTGAAAGAGAATGCTAAACCAATATTTTGTAAAGCTCGTAACATTCCGTTTGCCTTAAGAGGGGCTGTTGAGAAGGAAATCGAAAAACTTGTGGAAAATGAAGTAATCTATCCAGTTACGCAAACTGAGTGGAGTACACCAATTGTGGTGGTAGGGAAACCTAACAATGAAGTAAGAATATGTTGTGATTTTAAGGTTACATTGAACCCCTGGTTGAGAACCGATCATTATCCACTACCGACAACCGAGGATATTTTCTCAAACATATCCGGTGCAAAAGTTTTCACAAAAATTGATTTGAGTTCAGCATATAATCAAATCTGTGTTAGTCCAAGCTCTCAAGAGCTATTGACAATTAATACACCTAAGGGTTTATTCAGATATAAGAGACTCCCTTTTGGGATAACAAGTGCTGGCGCAATTTTCCAGTCAGTTATGGATAAAATTCTAGCAGGGATTGAAAATGTACACTGTTACCTGGATGATATCCTTATTACTTCTCAGTCTTTTGAAGATATGTACGAAAAGGTTAAGGAGGTTTTGTCCCGATTGCAACAGTACGGAGTGCGAATTAACGCAGGGAAAAGTGAATTTTTTAGGGACAGTCTTACATTTTTGGGACATCGTCTGGATGCAAGGGGAATATACCCCAGTGAGGAATTAACAGCAGATATTGTTAAGGCTCCTAGGCCAACCGATCTAACCCAACTGCGGTCATACATAGGCTTATTAAACTACTACGGGAAATTTCTCCCAAATTTGTCTACTCTGCTACACCCTTTATACAACTTGTTAAACAAGGGGGTCAAGTGGTCCTGGTCGGAAGAGTGTGAAAGAGCATTTCAAAAGAGTAAAGAGCTCCTTTTGACAAACAAGGTTCTCATACCCTTCAATCCGAAACTAGACATAGTTGTCATGGCGGATGCTAGTCCATATGGAGTAGGGGGGGTAATCTCACATCGGCTTCCTGACGGGTCCGAAAAACCCATAGCCTTTGGATCAAGAACACTATCAGTACATGAGGCTCGATACTCACAAATAGAGAAGGAAGCGCTCGCTTTAGTATTTGTTGTAAAAAAATTTCATACCTTCTTGTACGGTAGACGTTTTATCTTAGCAACGGATCACCGTCCTTTGACCTTTTTGCTTGGTCATAACAAGTCAATCCCTACTTTAGCAGCCGCCCGGATTCAGAGATGGGCTCTGACCCTAGCAGCTTATGATTACGAGCTGGTTTACCGAAAAGGTTCTGATATGTGTAATGCAGATGCAATGTCAAGACTGCCCTGTAATGTTGATTGCAACCCAGATGAAGTCGTAGCTTTCTTTTCTTCCATTGATGAAATGCCTATAACCTTCAAGGAGATTAGTCTCGCCACCCGCCACGACCCCGTCTTGTCTAAGGTGTTGGACCATACGTTGAATGGGTGGCCTAGCTATAACAACAGCCCCCAATTGAAGCCATATTTCTCAAGGTCTACCGAATTGTCTGTTGAGCAGGATTGCTTACTCTGGGGAAGGAGAGTTGTGATACCGGCGCCGCATCGGAAGGAAGTTTTGGCACTCTTGCATAAGGAACATCCAGGGGAAAGTCGAATGAAAAATCTGGCCCGCAGTTACGTGTGGTGGCCCAACATGGATAATGACCTAGAGGAGATGGTTAAAAATTGTTTTATTTGTCAGTCCACTCGGAATTCGTTGCAGTTAGCCCCGTTACAACAGTGGTCGTGGCCCAAGCATTGCTGGCAGCGCATACACATTGATTTTGCCTCATTCCACAATAAGGAGTTTTTGATTATTATTGATAGCTTTTCAAAATGGATGGAGGTTATCTACATGACGTCAATCACGTCAGCCAAGACAATCGAGAAACTCAGGACTTGTTTTTCTGCCTACGGTCTTCCGTCAACTTTGGTATCAGATGGTGGCCCTCAACTTAATTCAAAAGAGTTTGATGATTTTTTGAAAGCCAATGCTATCCTTCATGTGGTCACCCCACCGTACCACCCAGCTTCGAACGGCCTTGCTGAACGAGCGGTACAGACTACCAAAAAATCTTTTATCCGTCAGCTTTTACATGATGAGAAGTCCGGAGAACCTCGGGCTTTACAACATCGCATCGACAGTTTCCTCTTCGCCTATCGAAATACTCCGCATTCGACCACAGGAAGTACCCCAGCAGAGTTATTCTTACGATTTGTACCAAGAAATCATTTGAGCTTGTTAAAACCCCACCTCGCTCGTTCAGTTGATGAAAAACAGTTGAAAATGGAAGAAGCGGCTAATAAGAGAAGAGGCAAATTCAGATCATTTGTAGTAGGGGAGGAAGTATATGTTAAAAGCGTAAGACAGGAATCTTTAAACTGGATGCCAGGACAGGTTGTTAAGGTAGTGAGTCAAGTGACTTATTTAGTGAAGGTACAAGGCCGTACTCGCTTTGTTCATGCTGACCACTTGCGTCCTAAATTTGGAACAAATGTCGAAGAAGAAACTCTTATGACATTACCTACACCAGTTTCCCCAGGAAGGCCTAAGACTAGCCCGGGTATTAATAAAACAGTAGAGGAGATGAAGGATGGTTGCGAGATGGATCAACCTATAATTCAAGACGAAGTACATGAACCTGACCCAGTGAAGACAGTAAAAACCCCAAGCCCCGGAGGACCTCTTCGCCGTTCTCAGCGTGAGAGAAAACCTCCAAGGAAACTCGATCTTTAATCGAAGTAAATAAGTTCCCTCCAAGAAGAATTAAGTATTTTATGTTCATGAAGAAGTTTTAATTTTTGTTTTTATTTTGAGAAGATATATTGATTGTTTTATCCTTTTATGATGGTTGGGAGGGAATTGTTATGAACCAGAAGAGATATTGTTTTGTTTATTATATAATCAACGGTAGTAACCATATTACATATAGTACCTATACATATTGGCAAGTTATTATCAAGAAGGCCATGAGGAAGACGCGGAGAATAGGCGAAGAGGACCGGCTCGCGGTCTTGGAAATTCTACAAGTGAGTACGGATCGCCATTTTTACTATCACTTTTCCTAAGTCCATTAGCCTAGAAATTATCAAGTTAAATGCATTTACATTACTATCTATAAAAAAATGACTTGTTTAAAAACTAATAACAGTCATAATTTCCGATTTTTTAAAAAGAGTCGACTAAAAGATTATTAACTAATGGAAATACTCACAATTTACATAACAGTCCTATTCCAGTTTAAAGGGTTAATTTTTTACTATCAAACTGTCCATGGACGGGAAATGGTACCTAAGCTAACAATTTAAGTCAACGTAAAAAGGCTGTCAGCTTTTATAATGTACCGTACCTAAGCTATTTAGACAATTTGTAGACAATAAGGTGTAGGCTACTTTAAACTCTACAGAACGGAGTTAGGCAAAATCTGGAAGAACTCTGAAATGGTGTTATTTATCATAAGCATATTCATATGCCAAATCATTAAAATTAAAATTCAATAATTAATAACTTATATCATTAAACACAAACCATCATCCAAAACTATACCCATTTTTAATACAACATAGATCATTTGCACATTGACTGTTTACAATTAACAAATGTTCTTCTTCTCACTTTTGATTTTTGGTTCGCAACGGGAAAAATATGTTTCATAATCATTGAAGTAGATTTATAATAAATAATCCATCATATAGTTTAAGATTAAATAAATAAACCTACCACATAGTTGTTTTACTTTTTTGGATCAGCTGTCTGAAATTGTGAAATAGACATTTGACGGTTCTGGTTGTTTACATTTAAATGTCAAAGCAAATGTAAACATTGTGAATTTTCTCATGCTTCCATGGAGACCGATTTTTAATATTTAATTTCTGACAACAGCTGAAGTTTCAAAACAATGTTTGTTTCCCATGTTAATCTTATGGAGAAATACAAAAAGTTAAAGGGCCCCAGGGCCTCACTCTCTAATTATTTCCCTAAAAAGAAAAATTCCTGCACAACTTCACGTTACGCTCTTTCCAATGACACCAAAAACATGTCAATCGGTTCATTAGTTTCGGAGGAGTAATTGTCACAAAAATCCTGCTTGCGTATTAAATAAGTATAGATGTTTACCCTTTTTAACACTATAGTGTTATATGTTCAATTGTTTTGTCACTGAGCATCAGAAATTTCTCCGCCCAAGTTTTTGCTGCAAGTGGTCCATGTTTACCCTACGCAACTGAAGCCCAAACGAATTCCTTTTTGGCGTGTTATTAATTTTGTAGGTGTTGTCATTAAAAAACGGTGTTTACTATGTTTATTCCATAGTTGTAATATTATTTGATATTTAAAGTATTTGCGAACTTCCCTAAAGGGAAGTAACTATTACAGTAGGTGGCACGATAGACCCCAGAACCGATTTACTTTTTCATTTTGATGTCCCCAGAGGCCAAAAACACTATTCGTTCAAATTTGTTTATATGTCCGAAAACAATTCGAGACATTTTGGTCCGATTTTGATTAAATATGGCTTGAGAGTGTAGGGTGGGATATAAGTGGATGGTTGAGTCTACGTACCACCAAGATCGGGTAATGGAAACGGAGTATTATGGGGTTTTGAAAATCTTTTAAAATAGTTTTTTCCAAATGTGTACAATTAAAACGAGGAAATTACCGATTTCCATTAGAGCTTTAGCGTAGAGCTTAAGAAAACAAATAATTTAATTTATTAAAGCGTTGTAAAATTAAACGTTATGGAAAAAATAACTGTACATTTTAGATTCCCATGTTATTTATATAGAAAAATGATAACTGTTGTAGTTTGCTTGTTTATGGATGTATGCTGATCAAATTTAGATTTTTTACACTTCATCCATACTAACATTTGGTCAAAAACAGTTTACCTTCCCCGTTGCAGCAAACCTAAGTACTCGTTAAATGTAATGTTATTTAAAGGAGGAATAAATATGTATTGTCTATGGAAATGGTTTGGTAAAAATACAGCAGGTTTTCTTCGGTGGGGTTATTATTTTAAGTTTTACCATCATAGCTTTATAGAGTGGAAACCATTTAAAGCTTACAATGGAAGTGTACATGTATGTCACACACATTTTTTAATTACTGTATAAGTGTCCGTATTACCTATTTATTCATGCGCTTTAGTTTTACTGGGGAGAAGTATTTTGCAGACAAATAAATAAAAATATAAACAAGTGAAAGTTTAGACAAGGATAGTATCAATACATAAATTGGAAGGTTTACAACTTTTCCTAGTTGTACGAAGTTTTAAAAACTCGTGATATCCTAATCACTATAACAGATTTAATAGTAGTTTAATGTTTAAAACACCCTACACCCAATGTAATATTAGGTTGAAATATTTGGTTCTTCATGGAAGGACGTGAAATTATGTTTTAGTTAAATGTTTACCTCTTTCTATAACTGAACTGTGACAAATTTAACAATGAACGTAAAATATGTTTTGAAACGAACTATATTTCGATAAAAACCAAACTGAACTGAATCTCTGTTATTTTAAATCTAAATCAAGATATATATACGGAAAGTAAATAAAGATACGTCTTATAACACTTAAAACATATATTTACGCTTATACTGTTACTCACAAGACGGCAAATATACAAAAGATGGTAAGTGGTGATCGATTTCGATTGGACACTCCAATCATCATCAGACCCAATAGGCGAATCAATAACACGTACAATGCTGATCAAGAAGTTATATAGATATATATAAAAAAAATAGAACAGATAATGTACAGCTTCCACTTAATGTATTATCCTACATTTTGATCAGCCAGGTTTCCTATATTGATATGGAATGTGTTGCTGAGCTAGGTAAAATAAAATCATCTACACAATTTCCACGGGAGCTATTGAGTTTACAGACCCACAGAATAATAAATATACAGCACGTAATTATAGCTCATAATATAAATAACACTGACATAAATCCTGCAGCAAAAGCGCGAAACTTATCACATATTGGGAGTTTGTCAATTCAAAGAATTGATATTTGGTAAAACAAGGGGAGTGTGCAGCTTTATTGTTTGTAATGATAATGCACTTTGATTTGATTTTGCAAGCGTGCAGTGCTTAGTTGGAATTTTTACATGGAAAGCACGGTGTTGTAAAATGTGATAAATTGTAACCATATGATACTGGGTACGTCACTTATTCAAATTAAACTGTAATGAAACTTTGAATCAAAGACTGAGTAACTACGTGTTAGTTATATTTTATAAAGGTGTCAATAGATGTTTTCAAATTTTTAGGTGTTTCAAAATTGGAATAAGGTTTAGAGACGATTTCTATGTGTTCATTGAGGATTATCTTAATCGCATTCATTAATTTATCGCATATTCATTAATTTGAACTCCAATGACTCGGACATTGCCTAATCCAGACACCAGTTCGAAAAATTCCAATTTGTTGAATCAGAATGCACTATTGAAATTCTATCAGTAAAAGGCATTTCATTGACACTGTCTTTCTTTATATAAAGCTAATTTCTCCTGGACATTGATTAATCCATAATGGGTATTTTGCTAGCCTAGTGGTTAGAGTCTTGGCGTTCTGTGTGGGAGGGACGGGTTCAATTCCTGGCACATCCACAAAACTTTAATGAGTTTCGACCTTTTTCCTTTAAAAATCGTTTAAACTAAACTAGCTTAGACTTCAATTCAAAATGCCACTGCCGGAGGGAAAAAATTCATGGGACTTATATCCGCAGATAATAAATATAAACGATGGTTTACATTTAGAATAATTTTAAGTGTTGAGTTAGTAGCTAAGTTAGGTTACTAAGGGATAAGTTTTGTATTTTAGTTATGTACGCCAATTGGCAAGACTCAGTGACAAAATCGTAGTTAATTGCTTCATCTGATTTCTCGAATTAATGACAGTCAAGAATGATGGATTACGCCCATTAAAATGACCTAGTGCAATGTCACCAAATTTAAAGATCATTCAACTTCCCTTTAAGTCTACCAATAACTATAAATTGGCATAGATAACCTAATCTAACCTAACCTAACACAACCTAACATAACCTAACCCCCTACCACTCGACGTTTATAAGTCTTAGATATCGATAGTTGTTTATTGTGGCTACGATTGAGGACCTCAGTCAATTGTTAGTTACTATATAACTTCATCTGTTAAGAGTTGAAGCTGAAGATTATGTATGCAACAATAGAACACTTTTCACTTGAATACATTGTCAATGATTAGAATCTAGTTTGTACCTCGTAAACAGTCTCTAATATATTCATACATTCAAAGTGTGAAACTAAGTTTTAAATGGTTCGCCATTGCAATCGTATAAGTAACAAGTGATTCTATTCTGTCCGACATGATTCCCATTCTTGGAATTGACATCAGTATTGTATTAGTGGGAGAGTAGGCTATATTTTGATCCCTTTGCACAATTAACTGTTATGAGCGTTCAATTATGAGTGCTCAACTGACAATCCACTTTACATTGTATTGTTTCCTTTGTCACCACAGGCTTAGTTGTTGATTTGAAACGTATGTTTTGAAACTTTATACGTCCAAGAAACATCTACTTTTCAAACTATTGCATAAAAGATTAGAAAATGTGGCATAAAATATTATTTAACATGATACCTGAAACATATAGAAAAGCACTTTTGCATTACTATTGATATTGGGGAACGAGCTGGTCTAGTGGTGGAGCACGGGACTTCAGTCCCTGAGATCCCGGGTTCAAAT